GTCCACTAGGCGCACTGGCTTTGGGGCTTCCTGGGAGGTGCAAGGTCAGCCATCACTTGTGCACTACCCAGGCCACCCAACACAAGCTACAGAGCAATCTGTAAATGGCTACCATTTATGCTGGGCTTGAAAGTACCCAGACAGGTCAAGTTACGAACCAAGGCTACTACTGCTGGTGCCAGGCCTGGGGCCGCTTAGCGAGAGGTACGGGGCATGCCAAGGCCAGATGCTGCTTGTTAGGAAGGTGTTAGGAGAGTCCAAAGCATCAGGCGGAAGAGGCCATTTGCATGGAAAGCCACTAGAAACAGCATCGGTGGGCCCACAGGTTAGGTGGGGTAAACAGTCTGAGCCAGGTAGGTGAAACTCAGATATTGTGCCTACCTGTTGGCTCTGGGGTAGTGGTGGGGGCCAGAAAAGGAGAAATGGCCTCGTCCAGGACTTTTGTCTGGCAGAAACTGACCCCCCCCCCACTTTCACCCTGATGCCAGACAATTCAGTTTCTGAATATGTCCTTGTTTCTGTTCAAATTGCTGACCCAGTGCTGGAGCTCAGAGGGAGTGGGTCCAAGTAAATCCATATGTGGGCCCTTTGAGAGGAACTGCCTGGTACTCCAGCAGCCCCATCTCAGCCACAATCCCCACTGGTTTTTACAGCCAGAAGTTACGGGGACTTCTCTTCCTGGCTCTGGAACCCTGGGCTGGTAGGCCTGGTGTGAGGTTGGGACACCTCACTTCTCAGGAGGGACCTTCGCAGCCAAGACATGGCTTCCTATTTTATTTTATTTTTCTCTTTTATTTTTAAAAATATTTTTTAATTGATTTTAGAGAGGAAGGAAGAGAGAGATAGAAGCATCAATGATGAGAGAGAATCATTGATTGGCTGTCTCCTGCATGCCCCACACTGGTGATCCAGCCCACAACTCCGGCATGTGCTCTGATAAGGAATTGAACTGTGACCTCCTTGTTCATAGTTCGACATTCGACCAATGAGCCATACCGGCCAGGCTGTGGCTTCTCCTTTAAATCCCTAGTTGTAGGACATCTATTCAGCTAGATTTCAGGCGGTTCTGAATGATGGTTGTTCTGTAGTTTAGTTGTAATTTTGATGTGGTTGTGGGAGGATTGGAGGACTGCATTTACCTACACCACCATCTTGACCGGAATGTTCTGGCCAAGGCTTTGAGGAACTGCAAAGGCCCAGTGAGCTGGAGCTCGGCATCAGGGCCTTCACCCGTTTACTGCACTGAATGCATCAGCTGGTTTCAAAAGCTGTGGCTGGTCTTTGAACAGACTCGTGGGGCTTGGGGATGAGGAAGATAACATTTGCCTTTATCTCCCACTGAGGAGGAGGGGCCTGGATAAACGCCGCAGGTTTGGGATGGGACCCTGGGGGTTGAGGAGTGGATGGAAGTGGAGCAGTCTGCACAGTGACTGCGTCATCTCCAGCCCTGCCTGGGGGTAGGGCACCTGGGCTGCAGCGCCCTGGCCTCACCGCCCAGTGGAAGCAAAGTGAATCGTCTCTGGATAAAGACAACTTCATCCAGAGCCTCACTGATCCCAACAGCGTTTGCTATACGGTGTCTAGCAGTCAGCAGCCTGTTGTCAGGCACAGACAAGGCAACCGGCGCAGGAATGAAACAGACAATGGGAGGAGGCCCAGTGGAGCTCCAACGAGGGAGTTATCAGGAGCAGCCTTTACATGAACCACAAATAAAATGTTGAAAATGTAAAAGACAAGACAGAAACTTTGGGCAGAGAACTAGAAACTACAAGAAAGGAACCAAATGTAAACTGTAGAACGGAAAGACGCAATGAACTGAAACTGAGAAAGAGATGGCGTTCATGCGAATGTCGCCGTGCTGAACGCCGTATGGGCATCGACACCCAGGGCTCACCCTGCAGACCTGCCTACTGCCACTCCTGGGACGTGGACAGCCTGGTGTTCCTGTCTCTCTGTAAGTGGGACTTGGTCGGTTCTGCTGTCACAAGTGTCCAGTCGGGGACGGCTCAGCATGGAAGACACTCGACATACCTGTGATGCCTGCAGCTCAGAGAGAGGGACAAGAGGCAGCTGGGACGGCCAAGTCCACTGTGTGATGTGGTCATTGATCTTAATTCAGGAAGCAGCGTGAGGGACTGAGCACTAGAACTGAGAATAAGTTTAGTCAGAGGTTTCCTGTGGGCAGAAATCGTAGGGACATCAACTGTCTTAAGACGGAACCAAGAGTGGAACTGTGGCCAGAAGCGTGAGTAGAGGAGGGAGCTGCCCCTCCCCCTGCTTCCTCCCACACCAGGGAGTGAGGGCCGGAGTGCAGGGCAATGTAGATGGTCAGGGGCATTGTGATTGCTCTCACCCACTTTACCTGGGATGGAAAGCGCACTCAATAACAATTTATTGTTTGAGTGTTTCCTCCGTGACCAGGTCAGGGCTAAGTACACCACGTGCAGCACCTCAGTCCACATAGCGACCCATGACAAGGCGTCTGTTAGTAGCCCAGCTAATGGATAATGAAACTTGGACCAGGAGAGCTTGGGCACATACTTGTCCCGGCGGCCCAGCTCAGGAATGACAAAGGAGGACGCAGCCCAGGTTGCCTGACTTCAAGCCGGGCCCGAGGAATACCCACCCAGACCCAGAAAGGCCTGTGGGCCACTTCTTGGGTGCAGTAGGCAAAGGGCACATACATGGGAAAGGTGGGAACCCAGGCTTCAGAGATCTGTCTCTGAATTTGGGTTGGGGGCCGAGGAACATACCCAGGAACCCAACTGTGGGCAGGACCTTGACTGTGGGTTCATGCACAGCACCTCCTTCAAGCAGCCCTCCCTAAAACTAACAAAAACCAATCGCCCCTGGCCCTCAGAGGCAGATACCATTTCTCAAACGTGCTGCGGAGGGTCGACTCCCACCAACTCAAAGGCTGTGGCAACAGAGCAGGGCAGGTCCGAGCCATCTGCCTCCCCAAGCAAACGCTCAGGGAGGTGACACAGTTTTCTCAGAAATATTCCATTTGTTCTCATGAGTAGCTCTTTAAAGATTTAGGACATTCTTTTGTAGCCTTCCTCTTTATTTTTTTTATTGATGCATAATTGACATATACTGATTTCACGTGTAGGACACAATGATTTGCCTGTCACCACACATGGTTTTACTATATAATTTTTTTCTTGTGATAGGAACTTTTAAGATTTATTCTCTCAGCAACTTTCAAATATATGGAGTGACCTCCCCTTTGAAGGGTTTACCCTCATTTGGACATAGACTCTGATTTGTTGATTAAAAATAAAGTCAGACCCATCACATGGACGCCTGCAGGAGGCTGGCCCTGGCTGGGAGTCCTGTTTGTGCCATTGACGAGCTGTGTGACTTGGGCAGGTCCCCTTCCTTCCTGGGCCTTCCGGGTCTTCCAAACAGTGGCCGGGAGATGGGGGGACTGCCGCGCTCCCCCCAGTCCTGAGACGCTGAGACCTGTTTCTGCACCGACATGTACTCCCATCACTCAGGCCACAGAGAACCCTTCCTGCCTTTGTTCTTTCCATAAACACCAGTGTGCAGTGTGCTTGCCTTTCCCCTAAGTCTCTAGAATGCAAGAATGCAATAAGGAAGGGAATTTATGTCTATTACTGCCCACTCTGGACCGGAACTCCCCCTTCCCTACTGCCTTCCCTCCCCTCTCCTCCCCATCCCTCCCCTTCTTTTCCCTTTGCTTCCTTCCTTCCCTCCCTCCTCACACTGTGGGGAAGACATGATAGGCCTCGTTCTGAATGTGAGGAGGCAGAGGCTGAGATCAGTGAAGTGACTTGTTCAAGGCCACACAGGTGGCTGCGGGCGAGGGGCAGGGGGAATTTGGACCCACTTCTGACCCGGGGCTGAGTTCACCCAGTGTCCCAGGACCATAACCTCAGGGAGTGGACGGCAGGAGCAGAGCTGGTGTCAAAGCCCCTCCCAGGCAGCTGGCTCTGGAGCAGGAGTGGCAGCCTGCAGGCAAAGCCGCCATGCGTTTCTGTAAATAAAGTCACACGGAGCTCACCCAGCCTGTTCAGTTACCGACTGTTTACTGCCTTTGAACTACAACTCCGAGTTGAGGAATCGCAAGACTGTGTGGCCCACAAACCCTAAAATGTTTACTATTTGGTCCTTTTTACAGGACGTTCACAGCCCTGGTCCAGAGTCCAGCCAGGCCGTCCCTCCTTCTGTGGACACCACGTGACAGGAGACTGTCCCTGTGCTCAGCCCTGGCACTCAGCATTAGGAAAGGGGACATTTTTACTCGGATTCATGGTTTTTTTAAAAATTGAATTTATTGGGGTGACGTTGGGGTGAAACCTATACAGGTTTCAAGTGTACAAGTCAACGAAACCTCCTCTGCACACTGCATCCTGCACACATCCCCCCAAGTAATGTCTCTTTTCCTCCCCAACCCACCCCTTTGCCCCCCTCCTCCCAGCCTCCAACCCCGCTTCCCTCTGGCCATCACCACACTGTTGTGTGTGTCCTTGGGCTACGCATATATGCTCTTTGGCTAATTCCCATCACCTTCCTTCATTCAGTCCCGCCCCCTCCCCTCTGACAGCTGTCTGTCAGTCTTCCATGCAGCCATGCCTCAGGTTCTTCACATTTGCTTTAGGTTGGCCAACAGTCCCTGGCCACCTGTCAGGCAGATGACGGTGTTTGGTGATGGTTGTGCTTTTCTTCCCAGGAACTCAGTGAAGGGAAATAGAGATCTCCATTTTGGGGAAATTACACCGGGGAAAAGGGGAGGGATGGTTACAACACTGTGTTGCGACACCCAGCAGGCCTGACCGTGACAACAGCAAGGTTTCTCTTTTTGGAAATGTGAGGGCATTTCCGTTTCTGCTGGTGTGGTGAGTGGCTACCTTCTTTATAAGCAGCTCCTCCGGCCCAGAATGGCAGTCCTTGTTGCACGAGGCGCCCCGGGATGGCAATCTGCAGGTGCCCCCTCAGTCACCTAATCTCTCTCCTCCTCTTCCTGTTCCCTTCAGAGACAGCCTGCCGCCCCTCAGGCAGGAGGCCCAGCAAGATGCAAGCCTTCAGGTAAGGCCGGCGGAGGAGGCGGGGGACGGGCAGGAAAGGGACGTCCATTATTGCACAAAGCGGCTGCCACGTGCGAAGCCTGCAGGACTTGTGTTTCAAAATGTCCCAGATGTGCAAGCGTGGCTGGCTCTGAGGCCTGCCTGGCTTTCCCAGACACCCTGGCAACTCAGCAGGTGACAGACACGTGCCCAAGAGCCTGGCTGGGGTGTGGGCTGGGTGTGCTGGGTGAAGAAGCAGAGAGGGCGCCGGGGCAGGGTGGCCCTTGGTTCTAGATGGTGGTTAGCAGTGTCTGTCTGTGCTCACGGTGGCAGATCCTGACCCTCCGGGCCTCAGTTTCCCCACCTGTGACAGGCAGTTTCCAGTGACTCCTGCCTGCCTGACAGAGAGGTTGTGAAGGTCACAGTGTGACTGTGCTCTGTGAACTATAACGTGCCCCCAAGGTGCTGTGATCTTTAGCGATTGGGTCAGGAGCTTTGTGAGACATCACCACCACTGCTGTGAAGATGACAGGCTGCAACGCATCTGCACAGGCCCTTTGCCCTGCTACCCAGGACTGAGCTGGGCTGGGTGACTTCACCCCCAGCCCTGGGTGTCTCTGGTGGGGGCTGCAGGTCAGACTGTGTGCGTGCGCATCCAGAGGGGGAGGTTGGCTCTGCCTCCTCCTGTGGCGGGAGCTCCAGGAGATGCCCCCGGAGGCTCCAGTCGGGGCTGTTAGTCCCTTCAGATGGTCAGTCCTCCAGAACTAGAATAATTACAAAAGGTCAAATGCATCCACGTGCAAAGAACTTTTGTTTGTCTGACCACCCACCCAGCGTGTGGGCTCCTCAAAGCCCCCTGGGGAGGTGGGGGTGTCAGCTGCCTTTCGTAGGACAGAAGACGAGGCACAGGCCACAGTCAGGCTGGTGGGCAGCAGGGAGTGGAGGGTCCTCCAGTGGACGGGCCCTTTGCCAAGAAGAAAGGACCAGGAGCCAGAAACAGGCACCTGGGTGAGCTGGACGGGAAGCTGACCCCTTCCAGGGACGCTGCCCCTGCCAGAGGCGGCACGGGCCCTGGTGGTGGAGGACAGGCTCTGGGACAGACCCCCGCAGTTGCTACAAGGTCCTCTGTGCCTTAAAATGCAGCGTTCTGCGGTGGCCACTGGCCTCAGATGACTCTAAGTGTACATTTAATAGTTAATAAAATTAAATTAATAAAAGTAAAATCAAACTTAAAAATGCAGATCCTCAGGCACACCACCTTCCAGGAGCTCAGTAGCCATGGTGCCTGGTTCTTCACATTTCCTTTAGGTTGGCCAACAGTCCCTGGCCACCTGTCAGGCAGACATGGCCCATGTGGGGCAGCGGACTGACTCTGTGCCCCCGGCAGTCCTACTGGCAGGGGCCGCCCCAGGGCTGAGGTCCAGGCGCTGGTCCAGGGAACCTGCGGAGGGGAGCAGGGCGAGGAGTGGGCCTGTCTCCTAACCAGGATCACCGAGGTTGCCTCCTCATGCCCTGGGTGTGGGAAACACCACTCCCCAGGAGAAAGTTGGGTGTAGACTCAGCGAACTCCGGGAGACACATAAAGGGGCTGAGCCCAGGGCCGGGCACAACCTTGTCCAGTACAGCGGGCCCTTTTGCTTTTCAGAATCTGGGATGTTAACCAGAAGACCTTCTACCTGAGGAACAACCAACTAGTTGCCGGATACTTGCAAGGACCAAATACGAAACTAGAAGGTGAGTGCCTGCCAGGAACGCCGATGTGCGGGCGCTGGGTCACGGCATGGGTCTGCCGCACTGTGGCCTCTGTGACATCCTGATCCCACTGGCGAGGCCGGGCCACTGGAGGGCACAGTTGAGGGCAGGGAGGGGGAGATATAGCTGTGGAGCCTCCATCTTCAGGCACCGTGGTCCCAGGGCCACAGCTCCGGGGGAAGGGGTCATGGGGCAGAAGGCTAGGTCGAGCCTTGCCTTCCTCCTGTGCCCAGTCAACCCCCGCGTCCCTGAGGTTTAAATTCTCACTCACTCCCACAGTGAACACAGCACACAGGCTGGGCTGTGTCCCTTCCTTGTGCACACATCAGCAAGCTCCGGGCCAGGTCCTAAATAAGCAGCCGCCCCAGTCTATTCCTCAGTTTCCCTTTAGTACGATGAGGGCAGGCGGATGACATGGTGGGAGAGCTTCACCGCTGGCCTTCTGGGAAGCTCCCACATCCTGTCGGCTGGCTTGGCATCCCCTCCATCTCCTCACCCTGCCTCCCCTGCTCTCCATGCTCCTTACCGCCGCCCCCCTCCCCTCCCAGGGCAAGACCTGCCTTTCCAGTCCCGGTATTGCTCCTAATAAACACGCCGAAGCAGAAAGGCTTGGCTTTTACTGCGACATGGCCCATGAGCAGCACACCGTTGACCTGGCGCGCAGGTCTCCAGGAATCCAGGGAAGATAGAAATCAGGTGGAGCCGAACCCAGGCGACTTGGCCGGAGGAGCAGCTAGGTGGCTGCTCTTGGTTGGATCTTCTGCTTGGATGCAGACCAGAACGATGGGGCCCCACTGTCCTTAGGACCTTGGGTTTAGTCAGGAGGACAGAGGAGCCCCGGGAAGCATCCAGGCTCTTCTCCATCAGCACCTGCTCTTCTCTACAAGCTGACCTTGCCCTCTGCTCTTCCCCAGAGAAGATAGACGTGGTGCCCGTCGAGCCCCACACTGTGCTCCTGGGCATCCACGGCGGGAAGCTGTGCCTGGCCTGCGTCAAGGCTGGCGATGAGATCAGGCTCCAGCTGGAGGTAAGCACCTGCCTGGTAACAGCCCCCACAACCAGGGCCTTCACGCCACCGCATGTGCTCTTCCTGTGGGCTGTCTGGGGTCCGCCGGGCTGTTCTGTTTCACGTGGGCTGGCTGGGCCGGTCCTGCAGGTGCATCCAGCAGGGAGCTTGGCTGCTGGCTTCTCACAGGGATTATTCCAAAATTACAGCACTTACTAAATGTCTGCTTGCATCACACTGCTCGTCCCCAAAGCCCGTCACGTGGCTGAGTCTGCCTCAGTGGGGGAGGGAGCTACACAGGGGTGGGCACCAGGAGGAGGCTCATTTGGGGACCTCAATCTCTGGGTGCTGCTCTCTTGTCCAAGGGCCTCCAACCCACGAAGACTTGGCCTCTTTCAGTAAAGCCCCATCCAGCCTTTCTCTCCCAGTCCTGGTCCACTCAGACCCAGGGGCTGACATGCCATCTGGTCCCTGCATGTCTTAGTCCCGTGCAGTGTTCATGGGCTGCCCTCAGAAAAGATGGCTCTGTCTCGGGAGAGGGCTGGGACACATCTTAACCCAATGTAACCTTAGCCCAGTGGCCGTAACGGTGGCACTGTCCCATCGCTCCACTCATGGCAGGGCGACTGCCTGCTGTGTGGAGTAGGGATGGCGGCATCGAATGGACTACGATGCTCTGCCCACCTTCTGCACTGCCCCCTCCTTGGAGGCACAGACCCAACTGAGCTCAGCCTCCACAGGCCTGGGCCCCTGCTGATGGGTCATGTGTACATTAAACTCTCTGAGCCCCGGCCAGAGTGGCCAGATTTTCCCAAGCCAAGGTGTGTCCGTGAGCCATCTGGTCTCCCACAGGCGCTGCAGTCAGCGTCCCCCTGGAATGTCCTGGGAGGCCTGGGGTCCCTGTGGTGGGTGGAGGGGCAGGCAGCACAAAAGCGCTCACCTGCTCACCTCTTGGCTTCCAGGAGGTCAACATCACTGACCTAAGCAAGACCACGGAGCAGAACAAGCGCTTCACCTTCATCCGCTCGGACAGCGGCCCCACCACCACCTTCGAGTCGGCCGCCTGCCCCGGCTGGTTCCTCTGCACAGCCCTGGAGGCCGACCAGCCCGTCAGCCTCACCAATGAGCCCCGGGAGGCGGTCAGGGTCACCAAGTTCTACTTCCACCAGGACTAGTGGTGCTGTCACTCCGCCCTAGGCCAGCACATCCAGGCTCCAGACGCCCCTCTGCCCTGCCCGGGGTCCCAGCCTGGGGGGGTCCGGGGAGCAGCAGTGGCAGGTGGGCCCCCCGAAGGAACTGAGGAGCCTGGTGTCCAACTCTGTCTCCAGCCCCTTAGCTGCCGCAACCTTCATGCCGCCCCGAGTGGTCTCTCTGAAGGGCAACTGGGACCACAATGTGGCTTCACGCCCTTCCTGCAGCATCACCTGTGCCTTCCGGATAGCAGCCCGGCCACCTGCCAGGCTGGACACCCTCTGCTCCCCCCTCCCAGCTCCCTGCCTACCCACTGTCCACGCCCAGATCCCAGAAGCCACTCACTCACCTCCCACCAAGTGGCTCTCAAACCTTGTTTGCAAACCTTGGGATAGCAGCGCTTTTAGGGTCTGTGGCCAAATGAAAAATAAGGATTTCACAGTATTTTAAAGGACCACTGTATCCAATTGTAAGATGCTTTAGTTGGGGATTGTGCCCTTCCTGGAAGGGGGTGGGAGAGCAAAACATCCATGTGTTTGTGAAAAACTATGATGAAAGCAAGTCTCCTTTTTTTTTTCGTTCTTATTGTTGTAACGCCCTAACCGGTAAAATGAGAAGTTAATGTACCAGGGTGCCTAATTTTTTTCTTTCTGAAACGTTCCTGTAAGTCTGGACCCCACTGCCCGGGCCCAAGCACCATCTGTACTCCAGGCCTCCCCCAGCGGCTGGCAGTGCTCCCAGCACAGCTGGCCCCGGTCCTCCTCCCTCCGAGGTGAGAGGCTCCTGATCATCTCAGCACTTCCACGCGGAGGCTGGTCTGAGATGCCTGGTGTCTGGATGCCGCCAGCCTGGAGCAGGGACAGGGACTTGGGTGTGTCAGCTCCTCGCAGGGCTGAGTGTGTGGCGGCCCTTATGTGCTGTCTGTGTCCAGTGGAAAGTTCCCTGTTCCCTGTCACTTAAGCTCTGTTTTACAATAAAACCTTAAAAATGCATCTACTTTGCTGGCTGTGTCCATGGCCCCTGGCTCGGGGCAGAGAGTGCTGGGAAACAGGATCTCCCAGGGGAACATTGCATTGGGCTCAGGAGGTGGGTGCGCCAGACCCTAGGAAGGACTGCTCATCAGATGTCCCTCAGCTAACAGTCAGGCGAGCAGGGAGTGCGTCCCGCTCCTGCCGGGAGTCCTGGACTCAGGCCCCAGCGGGGCCTGGCTGCTTGCTTGGTCCAGGAGAGTGGTGGCTCTGATCCGGCTCCAAAGAGGGCTACTTAGGTCCCTCTCTCAGGTGCCTGGGAAGGAGCCCCACCTCACCCTGCTCATAAACCCGACTTCCTGCCCAGCTTTATTTGAGGAGGAGCTCTCATTGCTAAGAGCAAACTGCATTCAGCAGATTGGCTGCATTCAGCAGATTGAAAGGCGTCACGATATTATCTAGGTCTCAGATCCTGTGTGTGACGACAATGAGGCCCAAGAGGTTGGCCATCTCAGTTTCTCTTCCTTGTGTGAAAGGGGGACTATACACGGGTGAACCGAGATGATGCGGGTGAAATGCCGTGTGTGATAAAAGGGCGTGGGAGGTTGATATGTCTTCAGTCCTGATGAAAGGAGGAAGTTCAAGGCAGAAACTCTTCAAGGCTGAACGGTCACAGCAGCAGCGAACACGTGACTCTGCAGCCATCCTGCCCTTCAGAGGCTTATGCGGTGAGGGTAGTTCAAGGCAAGACAGGGCACAGCCACGCACGCAAGCCCTGGGACTCTGGAGCCATTTGCTGTCTGCATGTGTGCCCTGGATGAGATAAGCAGTGGTTCTCAACCTTCCTAATGCCGCGACCCTTTAATACAGTTCCTCATGTTGTGGTGACCCCCAACCATAAAATTATTTTCGTTGCTACTTCATAACTGTAATTTTGCTACTGTTATGAATCATAATGTAAATATCTGATATGCAGGATGTATTTTCATTGTTACAAATTGAACAGAATTAAAGCATAGTGATTAATCACAAAAACAACATGTAATTATATATGTGTTTTCCGATGGTCTTAGGCGACCCCTGTGAAAAGGTCGTTCGACCCCCAAAGGGGTCGCGACCCACAGGTTGAGAACCGCTGAGATAAGGTCTTGGAGTTTCAGTTTCCTCATTGCCAAAAGCAGATCATCTATAGCGGATGCAAAGGGCTGTATTACCTCATTTCACCTTTGCAACCACCTTCTGTGGTAGGCACTAACATGATTTTTACTAGTATTGATGCTGGAAGAGTCAGCTGTCAAAGCAATCTGCTTTAAAGCCTTGTTGCTCAAAGTGAGGTCCTCAGACCACCAGCAGCAGCAGCAGCCGCAGCAGCATTCAGGGAGCTAAAATGCAGCACCACCCCAGACCTCACACCAGACTCACCGACAGGATATAATCCTAACCAGTCTCCAGGTGATTCTATGTGGGTTAAAGTGTGAGAAGCTCAGCTCTAAAGCGCAGCACCTCTCACCAGCTCACTGCCGACACCAAGACCTCCCCCTTAGCACCTCCTGGCCCCGACGCAGTGTTCTCACGGCAGGAGAAGCTGTGAGCTGTTGTCATCCTCAGACATCCTTCCACACAGGCAGGGGTTTCCATGTTTTCTTCTGTGATGCATCTCAAGTACCCAGACCAGTGTGCGGTACGGCCTGGGTGCTCAGTAAATATTTGGTAAATAAATGAATTGGCCACTGATAAGTCCATAGAAATGAATGTATTACTTGGGTCAGAAAATTTGAGAAGACAGGGGACTTGGGCTAGCAGTTTTGAAGGAAGACTGGAAAAAGGGCAAAGCCCAGATGTAGGAGGTTCCCGGGACTTGGGCCGTCAAGGAATGAAGTGTGAGCATAGGGGGCAGTGGCACACTCCAGCTTACTGGGTGATGCTTTCACAGGCTACTTTGGGGGCCTCACAGTAGGAATCTGGCCATTCAATGGTGGTTGCTGCTTAGAGGAGAGGAGGGCACAGGGCTGGGGAGGGGGGTGGAAAAGGGGGCTTGTGTATCTGGGTGATGCACTTAGCAGCACAGTGGGAATCTCGGAGACATGGGGTGCCAAAGGACAGCAGAGCTTGGGGGCTTTGTGGCCTGGGGTATCCTTGGTTGGCAGATGTTGGGTACAGTTTCGTGGGGAATGTAAAACCGGTAGGCTCTAAATGGCTAAAAATCTGCTTGTTTGGATGATGTTTAAAACCACTGGATGTGGACAGATTTGTGTTTGGCATCGGGTAGGCTACTGAGCCTGAATTAACCACCCAGGGCTGGTACGCAGTGGCATCTCTTTGCTCATTGGCGTGACTCAGGGCCTGGGACGTGGCCGGGATCCCAGGCCTGGGGGGGGGGGCATGCTACAGCGGGGTTTCTGTACAATTAGGAGGGGGTGTGCCAGGATGACAGGAGGTGAGGGTCTCAGGTGGGAGAGAAAGCACAGAGAGGGAAGGCAGACAAGCATCTCAGAGGAAGGTGGCCTTCCTGTCACCCACAACAAGGCCACAGAATCAGAGAACAGCCCAAACAACAGTTCGAAACTGGATACACAGCACTCCAGTCTTCAAGGCATTCTAGCCCAGTCAGGCTTCCCCACTAACCAGTGAGATGACCTTGGTCAGGCAACCTCCTCTGTCTAGACCTCTACGGTCCCATTCAAAAAGTAGGGGATTCGACTAGATCTGTGTGCTCATTAAGCTCACCTGCAGAGTTTTAAAAATGATGCCAGTGCCCAAGCCCCCAGCCCAGGACTGGCTTGTGGGTGTCTGGGGGATAAAGCCAGGACGTCAGCATGCCAGGGCCCATACCCCTAGACCAGGTGGCTCCGGACTCAAAGACCCTGAGGTCAAGTCTTCCCAGCTGCTTCCTCAGGGCCCCGCCGGGAGCTTCTGCAAATGCAAAGGAGGGAGACGGTCCTTCACTACATAGAAAGGTTCCGCTGAGTCACGGTGTATTCTGACTACCCTTTAATTTGGGCTGAAGGCAGAAGATTTTCCACTTTCTCAGTCACAAGGCTGATTCAGACCTACTTGGAGCTTCACTTTTTCTTTTTTTGGCATAAATTGTGCTATAATAACAGGTATTTAAGTTGTGGTTAAAATCTTGCAAATCTTGGGAAAACCAAATAATTTTGTGTTTTCTCTTCACATAACGAAGAGATTTCTCTAAGTCCTAGTGGCAAATCGCAGAATGCTTAATAATAAGCCCAGTGCTCAGAAAAGACGGGAGAGAGAGTGAAAGACGTCTGGGGGGTTCTTAGCCTCAATCTGAGAAGGTTTGACTAGAAGGATGGTCAACTTCCAGAGGAATGTGTGGCCTCTGGGTCTTCTGCAGCATCATGTGTGGGGGTAAAAGGCAGTTCAAGAATTGGCCAGAGTGGGCCAGATGGCAGCAGTGCAGGTGAAGTTACACTCACCCCTCCCAGGGCCAATCAACCTGAGTAACCATCTGAAGACTAGCTGAACAGAGGCCTTATAAGTAAGGATTTACAGAGGAACCTGCATGGAGACTGGCCCTGCACCCATAGGCGGCAGGTGAGAACCCAGAGGGCTATCTCACCTGAAGAGGATTCCGCTGAAGGAGCGAAGGGCCTCAGCCCCATGCCAGGGTCCCTAATGGAGAGCACTAGAGCTGGGAAGAGGAGCCCACACAACATCTGGCTGTGAAAATCCGAGGCGAGTCCACCAGTCCTGGTGAGAAGGGGGTGGTTCTCTTGAAGGGCCAGTGCACAGAATCTCAGTTGAGACACTCACCCTGGGGATGGCCACTCAGAGTGAACTGGTGTCATAAAGAGAGAAGTTGAGGCCTTGGTAAGGCACAGTGGTTAGAGCATCAGCCTGTGTACCAAAGGGTGTCAGGTTCGACTCCTAGTCAAGGGCACATACCTAGGTTTCAGGTTTGATTCTCAGAGTTGGGGCACCTGTGGGAGGCAACTAATCGATGTGTCTCTCTTACATTGATGTTTTTTTCTCTTTCTCTATTTCCCTCTCTCCCTCTCTTCCACTGTTTCTAAAAAAAAAGAAAGAAAGAAAAGAACAAGAAAAAAATAATTGAGTGAGGATTAACCAAAAAAACAAAAACAAAAACACGGAGAAGTGAGTGGTGTGGCTGTGGGGAGAGGGCTGGTGTGACAGCAGCAAGTGTCCCTGTGCTGGGTCTCTCTCCCACACCACCCACAGATGTCATCTTTCCTGGGTCAAGCATCCTCTCCATACAACATCAGCCTGGGGAGTGGCAATAGCACCTCCCTGCTAACTCCTGGAGGATCTACCCTGTAGGGATCACTCCCAGTGGAGAGGTCTTTGGAGGACTCCAGCATGAGCCTCATGCAGACCTTGTTGAGGAACTCTTGAGGAGGATTGGGCAGGCTTAACAGTGCCAGAATCACATGAAAAGAGGTTGAAGGTGGGGTGAGGGCCATTTTTTTCACTGTGCCTGAGCAGTGCCTTCATTTCTGTAAGAAGCTCTGGTCTATTTTAGCCTGTTGAACTCTGCTGGCCTCATCCTGATGACTCCCTGAGACCCCGCCCCATCACAAAGGTCCGCAGGTCCCAGGTGGGAGGGGGTTGGCTTTGGTGTACCCTGAGTCTTTTGCTGAGTGGCCTCAGACACAGCACTGGCACTGAGTTTGAATCTTTATCAACCTGATGAACACAACTTACCCACACCTGACGACTCACTGAGAACCTATCTCATGTAACTCACACACCATCAGAGGCTCTTCCAGTGACTGAGCCTAACAGGCAGCAGACAGGCAAAGGCAGATCTCTGGGTGCCTTGAGCCTTTTGCTGACCTGCTCTTGAGCTTGGAGCTGGTGGAAACCAGCCTTGGTATGCAGCTTGGTCCCTCCCACGTGCACCCAGCCCCAGCAGAGACAGGCACAAACTGTGGATTGTTTGATAGCTCCAGACGGGTAGCCCAAGGCAGGTTACAGGCAGTATCTGTCATTGACCTGCACTGGAGTCCCTTTCAAGAGTCCCTAGAACCAACATACACCGT